TTATGTATGTCTGTTTTCCTCTTGTTGTCTATCCTCCCTCTGATCGTTTTCTAAGTATTTTTGCTGATCCAACTGAGCACCCTTAAGTAGTGCCAAACAGTCGGTGGTTCCTCGTTTGGAGTGCCAACTGCACTCTTAGGGGGGCGCTCGGTTCAGGATGTCTGTGTTGCCTGTCGGTGATGATGGATGGTCGTCGGAGTGTCTCCCTGGCTCAGCGGGTGGTGGGAACCAACAGTCTGCGGGGTTCACCCGTGATGTGAGTAGGTGATGTGCTGCTTTGCTCCGTGTTGGATATGTGGACGTCCTCGTCTGCGCTCCGCCGCTGCCCTGCTGGCTGTCCGCTTGCCTCGCGTGTGGCTCTCTGCGAATTGCTGTGTTCGCTGCGTGGTGTGGCCGTGTTGCTGGTGTTGCCTTGCGCTTCGCTGCTTCGCTGCCGTGCTGCTCATCCGCTGGTCATGCCTTCCGTGTTGCCGCTTGTGTGCCCTGTAGTTGGGTTGCCTTGTTGCTGTTGCCTTGTGCTCCGCTCCACGGTTGCCGAGCTGCTGGTCCACTCGCCCTGTCGTCCCTTGCAGCGTCGTTGCCTTGTTTGTGTTGTCTTGTGCTTCACTACACGGCTGCCGCGCTGCATGCTCTGATTGCCATCCTTGCAGTCATTTTTGGCGTTGTGCAGCCTTGTTGCCTCTACTGTGTTGCCTGGTGCTTCACAGGGTTGCTGCTCGCTGCTGTGTTCCGTTTGGGACAGTCTGCCTTCAACAAGGGTCAAAGGGTTCATGACCCAAACCATCAAATACGGAGATTCCGCAGATTGTCGAGGGTTCAGCCTCCTGACGAGTCGGTGCAACTCCAACGAAACAATCTTATCATCATCAGTTTTATTTTTTTTCGGTTTTTGGTGTTTCTTGGGACTTGTATTTTTTTTTGGTCTGTCTGCTTGGTGTGCTTGAGTGTCGTCTGCCTTCCCACCTCCCCTATGTTTGCAGCCTTTGTCCTCTGTTGTTGCTTGTTCTCCTATCTCTCTTTGGTTGTCTTGTGTTGTCTTCTTTTCGGATTCACTGCCCTGTTTTTGTCTTCCCTCCCTCCTCCCCCGTGCCCTCCAGCCTAGGTGTTGCGTTGTGTCTTTCTGAGTTTTGCCAATGTCATAAGTCCAAGTCGGTTTCCATGTGATGGGGAGTTATGTGAGAATCGTCTTCAAGTCAGTGTGCATGGTCGTTTCCTGGGGGGTGGTCGTTCGAAGTACTATTTGTACTGAAGAGCAGCGTCCGCGCTTATACACACACA